TCTTCGTTTTGTGGTGTTATTCTTCGTGTTAGTGCTCTTTTTCTCCTCTCAAAACCCTTATACATATGTTNTCAAAATTCTCGGGGCCGGCCCTGACTGCGCATATTACTTGTGTCTATGTTATCAGGAACATCAATGTACACATCTACAAAATCAAACCCAAAAAGAAAGCAGTATATTACTAAAACAATTTCGTAAACAAGTAATGAAATTAAAGCCACATATTAAAAGTACCGAGTTTTTTGGGAACCCAGCCTTCCTCCATGACAAATTTTCGCATGTGCAACACCAGATAATCAGGAAATGAAGTCAAACCCGCAGTTCTGCAAACCAGATGTGAAAATCTGTTTGAACATTTTCCGTTGAGCAGTCTCGTCTTTAAATGCACAAATATCAAAAATTAGTTTCTAGAGTGATAAATGAGTAACTTCAACTTGAAAATCAGATTTAGTACTCTTCATGCTATAAACACGCGCGCACGTGCGTGCAAGAGAGAGAGAGAGAGAGAGCTCACTTAATAGCTGTTGTCCTGGAATCAAGTGCAGTACTGTAAAAATCATGCACCTCCTCAGGAGCAGAGAAGCAATCCAGACAATCCTTCAAGGGCACCCTTGGCCGTACAATTTCATCAGCCAACCTGCCAAACCTTGACATATTAAGCAAAATGCTACATGGATGCGAAAACATGTGCAAATGGGACTGTTTCAACTTACAATTCCTTCCCTTCTGCATCCTTCTCAGCCCGTAATTTTTAAAAGTCTTCTAATTCCTCTGAATTTTGAAACAAGTAATGTTAGATTGATGTCTACATAATTTACAAAACAACATACAAGGTAAACTCACTTTTGTTTGTAGCTTTGTGTAGCGGAATACTTAGTGAAAGAATATAGTCATCTCTCTTGTTATAGGCAACTCTGCCAGAGGGACATTGCAATCGCTCTTCAATGCCAAACTTAAAAATCCTTGAAGGATCAAAATTAGGATTCCCAGCATTGATCCTCTCAACTTGGTCGATGAAGTGCAGGAAGAACTCTAAAGCATCCTAGAGATAACTTCCTGTTTATTATCTATGCAACTAAATCCAGCAATCAAAAGCACAAATAATAACAGACAGAAGAGAAATAGAAAATTAGTTATGAAGGACAAAACAAGGTCCCTATCCAGTGAGTCATTGTTGTACAACCCCTAGGCTGCAGTAGCCTAGCATTAAGCTGACAACTAGATTTAACCATACAAGAATAAAAGCAGTTGTAACTAGCGAATATTCGTAGTGATAAACATTTGTAGCTGACTAACAGTTTAATCAACCTATCACTTTCAAACATTTCTTTCTGAATTTCACAGGTATCGTAGCAGAATAGGAACTACAATTCGCATTTCATAAGCCATTCAAATCTTTTGTCAACCCACTAACTGATCAAGTTACAGCAAGTTGCAAAGAATATGCCCATAACATCAAAGATCAGAAATCGCCTAACCGAGCAAAATTTGAACAAACCAATTATGATATCCCACTTTCAAGATTATGATAGAGGTGGCAACAATAAAATTATCGAGCCTTATTGACAACAATCCGAACTTGTAAGCATACCTGTTGTCTCATAGTTGAAAACTCAGGGTGGCTTGCAGCAATTACTGACTTGAACATACGAGGAGGAATCCCATCTTGTTTCTGAAAGCTTAGGCAGTCCCGTAGTTAGAAATGGAGAAACAGAAGAAATCTTAACACGGTTGATATTGATGTCTTATTGCATCTGAAAGATTTTGATTTACGTCAAAATAACTGAACTGGTCAACGCATCGAAAGTAAGAAGTGCAATGTACTTCAGCATTCTTACATAGAGTATAATCTTTCATTATGGTTCTGTAATCATTTGATACATGATAAAGGGAATCTAAAAATAACAAAAACCAGAGGAAGTAGGTAGCATGCTGACTTACAGCAGTTAATGTAGAGTTTATCATATCTCCAGCGTCATCTTTCTGGATGACAAAGACTTTCTGTTACACATACGATAACAGATAAACAAGCATAAATATATAAACACAACATACCTTGGCAGCTGGAATAGAATATTTACCAGAAAGCAATCCATGACCAACCTTTGCGCTGCCAAGAGACCATTTCACTTCACTCATCGATCGAGGCCTATGAAATATAATTTAACAAAACCATTTTAACATCATAGACCAGAATTTATTGGGTACCAAAAACCAATAAATCTGCAAGCAAACAAAACACGCAGTTTATACTTGCACAATCAAGATAACTAATAAAATTGGTGTCACGGATCTTACCTCGTGTTTCGAACCTGAAACTCAAGATATACCTGCTCCATATACTCACAATGCATGTAAACACATTAAACATATTAAACTGTAACATATAATNCTTACCTCGTGTTTCGAACCTGAAACACATACCATACCTGCTCTATATACTCATAAGGGCTAAGATTAAGACAATCCAAGTAAAAGCAAGTAATCACAACAATCAATTAAGAGCAGATAAACATGCGATGAAGATATCATTTATAGGATAGCACATAGATCCTTTCAAACATGCTCACAAAGAATAACAAATTAACACCAAGTTAATCAAACATACGATCAACACATATGCAACAAATGCATAAATGACCTCACGAAAAGATATCACCACATTTATCATATCCAATTTCGTGTTGCTCACACCTCGAGAACGCATATCTTACCTCATCGCCCACCAGGCTCACTAGACTAATCACTCAATACATGTCTAACTGGTAAGCCTCTATAGAGCCCAAGTCTTCGAGATAATCCTACAAAAGTAGTTAGTGAAAAGTAGATCCAAAAAAAAGGGACAAAAATGAGAATGCGTGATTTAGTGAAAAGTTGGATGATACGTTCTAAAAATTTTAGTGGGACGAAATTGAAACAGATTGAAAACATTGAGGATTTGGAGTGTAATTTATCCTCTTTATTTTTAAGTTTATTTTAAATGCACTAGAAGCTTCAAAACTGAACCGACCCAAAATTTTCTGGTATTTAATAAATGAGACCGTCGGGTCTTATATAATTATGGAACAATTCGGGTTCGGGTTCGGGTTCGGGTTCGGTTCGGTTCCATACCATAATTAATTTTTTTTAATATTTACAGCAATATTACATAAACACAACTAATAACATGTCATTCGTAACTTTTACAAATTAACATATCCCAATTCAAAAACATATAAATAACTAGCCATGCCATAAGATTAAT